GCCGGGGCGGCGCTGTGGTGAATGGGGCTCCGAACGTTCGCGGCAGCTGAACCGGGCTCCGAACGTTCGCGGCAGCTGAACCGGGCTCCGAACGTTCGCGGCAGCTGCTGCAGCCCAAGATGCGGAGAGGGATTTTTCTGGGGTTTGGTGCCTAAAGAACAGCCCCGAGGAACGTAGTCCCCTGCTGGTGCCTGCCCGGGTGAGCGGTGGCTGTCATTCCGGCAGGTACAAACGTTCTCCCCCACTCAGCAAAACTTTCCTGAAAGGAGCGCCACTGGGGGGAAAGACACCCCCCTTCCCCGAATGTACTAGACTTCGGTAACTTGGGGGGGTCGGGCCATTCTGGTGAATTTACCTGCTGTTTGATAGGGTTGGGCAAACGAGGGGTGGGGGGAGCGAACTAAAGAAAGGATTTCGTTCTCTCTGAAATTCTGAAGTTGTTTAGAGCAGTGGCTAACGCACCCCATTAAAAGTCTGTTGGTTTAAATCTTGTTACATTCCGTAGAACTTTCCCCCATAAAGGTACAATGTGTAGTGCACGTCATTCTTCTTCACTTGGAGGTGGAATAGGAATTTATGAGATCAAGGCTCTTTGAAAGAATTGCTTCTATTCTGTAATAGTGGGGTGTCTGACAGCTTCTGTCATGCTTCCTCTTATATATTTGGCATTTGGTTATAGGCATGATTTATTCATTTACAGTACATTTGGGGTGCATGGTATATTTCAAACACGTGTGAAAGCAAAGTCTCCGTCTTGAAAAGTTTGCAATTTGGAACGGCATACAGTGCAGACTCCCCTCTTCCCCGATTGTGACTGAGAAATGAAAAAGAGCAATAAGCTGTTTGTAATTCTTGCATGCCAGAATTTGGTTTAGCAACCAACTTCAACATCCATATCCACATTCTGATGCATCCTGCATGAATATATATACATGCACCTCTTATCCCAGGAACCGATCCTGAAGACTTACTCCCAAGAGTAAGTGCAAAGGAATTACAAAGAATCAGGACCAGAACGTCTGTGTAACAAACTTAATCACCTTCCACCACTATTGCATAAAATGCAAAAAGCTGCAAAGGGTGGCACACTCCAACTATTTTTACACTTTTCCAATGGTAGTCAGCATGACCTCCTGAGAGCACCGCATTGGAACCTTTCAGAGTTTGAAAATGAGACTTAATTTGTAGATTTCACAAATTCCACTTTTCAAATTTATTTCCCAATCCACTTTCCTACTTTGATGGGGAATGGGGAAAAAGTTTGCTTTGTGGATGCAGTTTTGTTGCAGGGTAGGAGGGAGAAATATCTTTTAAAAAAGCACTGCTCTTCCACTGAAATATTCAAGGGTAGAGGCAAATCATTCCCAGAACAACATATCTATTTCTAGGTGTGGTACAGGACAATAATTTGTTTAGTACAAATATCATACTTAGTGATTTGACTATTTGTGCCATCCTATTCATTTTATAAGGAATTTTTTTTAACAACTACCTAGTGGGAATTTGAAGGTAATTCAGTTTTTTCCTAGAGCAGGACAATACCATACAATTTTGGGGGAGGGAGGGAGTATATAAAGTTCAGCTGGTCATTTTGTTAGGCATCAGGCACAACTTATTCAAGAAGATAAGAAAGGAGATCTTAGCTTATCTTAGTGATAGCTAAATGTATTTTAGAGATTCATGGGCATATTAGTTTCTTCAATTCTCCAGAGCCTCATGGTATTTGTGCAAATGCACACTTGCATTTGTGGGATATTTGTGCAGTCTAGGCAGCATCTAAAAAAATAACTTCAGTTTAATTATTCCCATGTATTTATTGCCCTCCTCAAATGTAAGGCCATGCTGCAGAGTTAGAAGGATCCTAGACACCCCCCCCCACACACACACAATGGTGAATATGCCTAGTAACATAAATCTTTGCCGTCCCAATGGTGAATATGCCTAGTAACATAAATCTTTGCCGGCCCACTGATTTGCTCCAAGATCTGCCTATCTCTGGCTCTGGTTCTGAGCCCTTAGAAATTGTATTTAAAAACGCAAAAAAGAAAATGAGAGCCTTACATTAAATACAGTGAAACAGTGCTCATCAACTTGGAACAGGGGATTCTGTTGGATTGAGTAAAAGGGAAAGTTTTCAGTGTACGGATACGTCTATACAGCAGCGCTATTTGTTATCCCAAAATTGCATTCTGCGCATCTTAACAGCAAGCCCGTTATTTTGAAATACATTTGAAGTAGCGGGCTTATTACTATATTCCGATGTCCCGTATACCTCACTGCACGAGGATTAAGGGACTTGTCGGAATAATGTTCTATTTCGAAATAGGCTCTCTCGAAATAAGCTACACCATTTCCGTAGCTCAAATTGCATACCTTATTTCAAGTTACGTGCTACTGTGTAGATGAACCCTAATAGTCCTGTAGAAAAGCAGGACATTATCAGTCAATCAAAGTATTTTACAAAGGGAGGTCAGTATCATGATCCAGAGTTTCCATGTAGGGCAACTGAGGCACCAAGCAGTGAACTGACATCCCAAGGTCATCCAGCAGAAAAGTGGAGTCTAGAACCTGCATCTCCTGAGTCTCTCCCAGAGTGCTATCTTTAATTGGTTCATGCTTAGAAATAACCTAGTATCCATGATGAGGAGCTAAGGTTTACATTATTCAGCTAAATAAGATTCCACTCCATCTTCCCTCAAGCTCCTTTGCTGGATGGGTTAATGGGTCAGGATGCCCTGGGTTCCAGTGCTCAATGAGACTATGTCTACACTACAAGGTTTTTGCGCAAAAACCGGCAGCGCATTCACACCTCAAGCGTGTTTCTGCACAAAAAAATACAGTAAATCGATGGGACAGAGGGCTTTTGCTGGTAGAGTTATTCTCTCCCCATAAGGAATAGTTACAGCTCTTGCGTAAAAAGGCATGCGTGGATGTTCTACAGGGGTTTCTTGCATAAAAAGAGCCTACCAGAAATAGCACAGGTGCTCTGATGGCCATTCTGTGAATGGCCATCAGTCCATGCAGTGCGGATGCTATTGCGCAAAAGCACATTGCTTTTGAAGTGTGGACACGCTTTTGCACAATAAGTTTTTGCAGAAGATCTCTTCCGCAAAAAGTTTCTTGTGCAAAAACCCTGCAGTGTAGACAAAGCCTGAGGGTGGCCATCCAAGGAAATACACCAGGTCACATGCAAGAGGCTGCGGGCACCAAGAAAGGGGACTAAAGTGGAGCACTAGGGAGGTAGAAAATCCCCCAGACTGTTCAGAAGGCAATATAGAGCAGACCCTTCCTTCCTCGCAGGGGCCTTATTCTGAAAAGCTGATTTTACCCAAACTCTTTTCTTGGAGGAACCCTCCATGCTAGAGCCGTATCATGTCCAATTCATCATCCAACAACCACTAACACTTCAAAGCCTGGAGCTGCTCTTTCTGCTGCCTTATAGTGACAGAGGAGTCTTTTTAAAACCAAGTTCCCTGACCCCCTTTTATTCCCCCCATTGTAGTCATGTACCAAGTGTTTTGCTGTGATGGATTTCAGATGGGCATGGTAGGTGCACACGCAGCTGGATATGGTTAAGCAAATCTCATTTTACCTTTATTAGTGGATACTAGAATAAAACATCCCACTCCCCCTTCTATAGCTTTACCTTTTGAATAACTGCTGTAACCTTTTTGCCCCAGTAAAAATAGCTGCTTAGGAGAAAAACCTTGTGACTACAAAGAATGCTGTAATCACTAAAAGCAAACTAAGGCACAGTGGTGTTGGTATATTTGTGTGCCCTGCCTAGAAGCTCCTATTTATAACCCTGGATGAGTTCTCCAGGTGATGTCAATTAGAATTCATTTGATCTTCACCAGCAATGAATCTGGCCCTTGCATTCCCAGGAGCGTGCACATTTACATCATACATTTGGAGCAGTTTCAGTTATTTCCGGTCAAATAACTCAGGATAGGCTTAGCATGTTTTTGTTAATTAATATTTGTGCACTTATGCCCTGATGTAAAGAAACAGCCTGGCTCTTTGAAGGCAATGGGAGATTTGCATAAGAGTTTGAGTGGGTCAGCTTTAGGCTGTAGGTGATTTTGGTACTTTTTAGGGAGGCATTTGTGTTTCTTATTTTTGTTTTTTGTAACTCCGAGATTGCTTAATGGCAGGCAAGTTAGCTTCTTCCCAAATACTGTTTTAATATGCACTTACTTATCCTGATTTTATGAAGTTTGAGACTATGCACCAGTGTGATACAAGGTTTATTAGGAATGTGCATATCAGACTGTCATGGAACTGTAATGCCAACAGACCTAATCAAACCTGGGACCAATGGAGCTTAGAACATGATGAGCTAAACGCTAGCAGACACATTAATCTCTCTCTAAGAGGTCTCAATTAAACTACATTGGACAGTACAGCACCCCCAGAAGGTGTGTGGGTTACATACTCAGAGGGACAGGGAGTCAGCAATAGGCATTTAAAGGAAAGGTACAATGTATTAAGTTAACCCACACAAATTAAGAGGGCACAGAACAAGTGTAGGGGGCTGAAACTATATGTCTATTAAACAAACAAGGGGCATGTCTACACAGGGTATTTATGGTCTGAAAATGCCTGAATACATACAATGCAATTAGAGCATGCTAACTGCACATTTATCAAAAACAACAAGGAGTCCAGTTGTATCAAAGACCAACAATTTCATTATGGCATAAGATATCATGAGTTGCAGCTCACTTCATCAGATGTATGAAATGAAAGAAAAAACCCCAGAGACTAGGGCTCTAGAGATGGGAGCGTTACATCAGATCTAATTAAGTCAGGTTTAGATGTGGATAAGAAGGTGAGAATACCTAAAGTTGAAAATTACTTTTGGTAATGAGAGAGCCATTCCCAGTTCCTATTCAGATCCACTCTGATGGTGTCAAATATGCATATTAATTCCAGCTCAGCAGTTTCACATTGCAACCTGTTCTTGAAAGTGTGAGGGTTGTTTTGTTTTGCTTGAGGATGGCATCTTTCAAGTCTATAACTGTGTGTCCAGGGAGGTTAAAATTGTTCTCCCACTGGTTTTTGTATATTACCATTCTTGTGTGAAATTTGACAGATGTCATGCTCCAATCTCTGTACCCCTACTATTTGTTTTTTTCTTTCACTTAATGCATCTGATGAAGTAAGTTGCAACTCATGATCGCTTATGCCATCATAACATTTTTAGTTATTAATGCGCCACCGGATTCCTTGTTGTTTTTGCTGAAAAGGACTAACATGGCTACCTCTGAAATCTGTTCAGATTTATTGCAATCTCTGGAGCCCTCTCAGATACATCTGTGCTTGAAACTGGGGATTTGATTCCCAGTTCATGTAGACCATTATCAGGGATGATCTAGATGGTACTTGATGCTGCCATAAGTGCAGGGGACTGGACTTGATCTCTTTAGGTCCCTTCCAGTTCCAGTATTTTATGATTCAATGTACGTGCTAGCTCGCATCGAGCTCTTGCACTATAAATAGTGTATAGCTTCAGGAGCACAATTAACAGAAAGTATATAGACATGGGGTCCAGGCAGGTTTGTGATTGGGAAGCTGCTAGCTCATGTCACTGTGGCTACACTATTTTCAGTGCATTCGCTCGATGAAAGCTAGTGTGAGCATGTCTATATGACTGGGAATCACACCCCTGGCTGCAAATGTAGAAAACTGATTATTCCATTAAGGATGGATGTTGGGCAGTTTAATGGATGGACTATGTCTAGACTGCCCCCTCTTGCACAAGAGAATATGCAAATGAAGTGAAGCTGTGAATATTGCCGTGCCTCATTTACATATTTAATGAGCCACCATTTTGCACAAGGGGCTTTTGCGCAAAAAGGGGCATCTCCTTTTTGCGCAACCCCCTCCTCCCGGCTCTTGTGCAAGAGGGGTTTTGCGCAAAAATGGTGGCTCATTAAGTATGCAAATGAGGCACGGCAATATTCACGGCTTCACTCATTTGCATATTCTCTTGTGCAAGAGGGGGCAGGGTAGACGTAGCCATGTGGTTTTCAAAGAAGCCTACGGGAGTTAGAAATTCAGTGGGAAATGGGGGCTTAAATCCCTTTGAGGATCACAGACCAGATGCATTGAAACAGCATGTTTATGGCATAGAATAAGCTCTCCCCTATACAGGTGCATCTGAAGTTTAGAAACCTTCAATCAAACCCCCTTTCTCTAAATAATCCTTGATCTGAGAGACAGTTTACTGTTCAAAGCCAATAGGACACAGGGGGAAAAGTGAGCTGTCAAATATACAAAATGAGCTGGGATTTGAGTGGCGGGGTGTTGAGAGAGCATGGCTGAAAGGGAAGAGTTGGAGTGGTTTAAAATAAAGCAGCTGTTGGTATTTCCCAGCACTTAGATTCCACTGTGCTAAGCACCTTGTACATTACTGCATGGTCGTAGTGTCTAGGAACCCTGATTAAAGATGAGAGCCTAGGTCCCAGGCAGATGAAAACCAAAACACAGTTTCTGCTCCAAAGAGCCCTCAGTCTGGGATATTCAACTGAGCCTATAGGAGTTTGAATGTCAGTGGGATCTGGGCACCTCATTTACTTATTTTCTTTGAAAAACCCCTGAAATAATGCTTAAATATTTAGAAAGCCTTGAGCGCGCACCAGTTGGCACAGATACTTACTCACGTGTCCAATTCTACTTGGGTATGTCTACACTAGCCCCCTAGTTCAAACTAGGGAGGCTAATGTAGGCATTCAAAATTGCAAATGAAGCCTGGGTTTTAAATATCCCAGGCTTCATTTGCATCTTCCCGGGCGCCGCCATTTTTAAATGTCCCTTAGTCCGAACTCCGGGCCCGCGGCTACATGCAGCAGGGAGTAGGTAGTTCGAATTAGAGATCCTAATTCGAACTACCTACTCTCTGCCGCCTGTAGCCGCGGGCACGGAGTTCGGACTAAGGGACATTTAAAAATGGCGGCGCCTGGGATATTTAAATCCCAAGCTTCATTTGCAACTTTGAATGCCTACATTAGCCTCCCTAGTTCGAAGTAGGGGGCTAGTGTAGACATACCCCTTGTCTTCAGTGGCAGAGCCTAAAAGAGAGGAGTAATGTTTGTTCATTTAAAAAGAAAACAAACATATTTTACTTATCAAATGAGAAGTCTGTTTTCTGAATCATTCATTAATTACATGGCCAGCTTCAAACTCTGCTTCCCCCATTGAAATACATATTACAACTGTCGAAACACGTTTGATCACAACTGGGCGTTTAACACTATAGACCGTTTTAGGCTGAGATTTTCTATGTCACTTGGGAATTTGGATGTCCAATTCCCCTTAAAAATGAGAAGATGGTATCATCGACTTCCTATCTGCATTTAGGTCCTGCTTCTGCAAAGTCTTATTTAGTTCAATGGGGCTACTTATTTATTACTGATTCTGAGTAAAGAGGGCAGAATCTGGCCCTTTTTTATGCTTGTAATGTGCTTTCAAGAAGCTGCAATAAAAATTGACTCCCAGAGCCCATCCGCATGTAGTCTCTCAGGAGGAATGCAAGTAAAGTACGGTTATGGATGTTGCAACACTCTATTATGAAACTAAATAAATATGTGGCATTGCTTATTTGACATATTCCCTACTGCCGGGAGACATCTCTTGATCTAGATAGTGACGTGCTATTTATGTATCGAGAGTAAAGGTGTAAGAAAAGATGTGGAATCTAGATGTGGAATCTAGTAATTTCATTAATAACGATCAGACACTTTATACTGCAAAAAGCTTCCTGATTTTATTTATTTTTATGTATATAAATAAAATAATAAAAGAAAAAACAGCTAATTATTCTACAAATAAAAACTCAGTCTCCCAGGATCAAGCTGTTATATTACTGCTTGCTAGTTTATAGTTTTATTTCTAGATGCTTCTTGTATTTTACATGTTTTCCCCCTTCTTTTTAAGCCCTAAACCTTGAAGACTTACTAATGTGCTTAACTTTAGGCGACTAGGCTCACTTAAAATTAAATGATTGTTTGAGTCTTTGCAGGATCAGGGCTTAAGTGTAGATGCTGTGATAATGAGCAATGCCTATATCTACTATATGTTTTAGAGAGTAAGTCTGTCTGTCTGTCTGTCCGTCCGTCTGTCCGTCCATCTGTGTCTGTCCACCTGTCTGTTTGTTCAAGAACTTCTCCTAAATGGCAAGAACTAGGGCCACCAAATTCAGTTTAAAGCTTCCTCTTATCATAACTGAAAGCAAGATCAGGGTTTATTTGTGCTGGGAAAAATGGGATGTGCCTGGAATGGGATTGCTTCTCATAAAACCATACAGTAAAGAGAGAAGCCCCAAGCCTCCCATTTCCCAAGTGTCCTTTAGGAAGGGCGGGGGTGGGCTGAAGTTTCCCCCTTCTCCAATTCATACAGGGAGGGAGGGAAAAGTGCACAGTTTGCTGCATTCCTTGCTTGGCTGGGGAGCACTGGGGATAGACAAACCTGTACCTGCCCCAGCCAGGGGAAATACACCCTTTCCCTGGCTGTGCCCGCTAGAGCTGCAACAGCCATGGAGAGACACTTCTCACCGGGCGCCAAACTGCTGCAGAGAGAGAGGACCAAAAATTAATCGAGTTAAGGACTTGAGCATCACCCGATAAGTCTTCTAGTGTAAGATATGTGAAAAGACCAGGCCAAATTCTGCTCGCTCACACAGGCAAACTCCTTGTCCCCAATTCTATTCTAACATAACCAGGAGTAATTCCACGGAAGTCTAAGAAGTCACATCTATTTTACATCAGCTCATTGACGTAAGGTTGAACAGATATAACTGAAAACAGATTTGGTCCAGGCCCCCTCAGGACAAGCAATTGTCTAGTTGAATGGCTCAGTTCCTTCAAAGATTTTTGCTTGTGCTTAACTTGAGGCATGGGAGTAGCCCAGGGGTGGGCAAAAGGGCCTTCGCAGGTTGGATCCGGCCTACCAAGCAGGTGGATCTGGCCCACGGAGGCCCTGCTGCTCCCCTGCCCCCAGGCCAATTAGGGCCTGGGGATGGAGGAGCACACGAAGCCTCCTCTCATCCTGCCAGGAGCATGTGGTGCTTTGAAGCACCACGCGCTGCTCG